AGGAGGACGCTACACCTCTTGTACGAGGCGAGAGGAGCAGCAAATAAAAGCGTAACACGAGCTTTCCGCGAACTGTGTTTATTTCCGAAGCCAGATTCCCCGCCGGTACAGAAACTTGCGTTTCGAAAGCAGTTACTGTCTTCTCGTCGTCAGCACTGCAATGTTAAACGGAGACAACCGATACCCAGTTACTTCGCGCACTTTACGTCTTACCTTTGCTGTTCCTCGAATCACAATTCCTTCGTCAACTGCACATCACGGAGGAATGGCAAAGCAATCCGCGAAACCAAAAGCCGCTCTCAAAAGAACAAATTGGAAGCCGCTGTTTGTCGCGTAGCGTGAAGAAAAGTTACATCGCTTGCCACCAGATGCAAGGGTCATGCAGAATAATTGCAAATAGCTAGGTTAGGTGGTGCTAAGCACCGCCAATGCGTGTTCTAGAAAAAAAAATTATTTCCCCAGGTCACCATTGCGCTTCCGCATCTGCGGGAACCTCTATTATACACACATATAGACATATTATGCGCACTACAAGCATCAGGCGCGCATACACATACATGTGCACACCAACATCAATACAACGGCACGTTAACCCGAACACTACACCCGTTTTCTGCGTTTCCGTCTTTTATACTGGTCGTTTTGAACGTACGGAATTTCTCGGTGACTGCCTAAGCAATAAGAAATATTCCCAGCATGCTGATTTTTTTCCAGCAATGTCATACCTATGACAGTATTTTTAATGGCTCAGGGGATGAATCTCTTATTAAAAAGTAAACCCTCGATTATGTCGTAATTATTTAAGAGCCAATAAATGAAGCCCCTCCAATGCTGTTCGAAGCGATGAGTTTGTTTGCCCGCACGGCATGTCGTAACCTGTATTTCTATTATAGTGTTTTTTTTCTTCTATTTGTGCTGTTCGCGCACGGCTGTAATGACCGTCTTAAATTAATCTCTGTAGAGCGGATATTCACTCAGCTGGATGTGATTCTTCACGGGCAGAAAAATCGCTTTTCGATTAAATTCAATGCAGTCAAAGCCGCGACTTACGGCAGGTGTTAAGTGTATGGAGCTACGTTGTGGTGAGCTAGAAAACTTCTAGCGCTCATCCCATCGCGCCGCTTGGAGGGCAGTTTCTCCAGGAACCGTAGTGTATTTAAACAACAAAATAAAGGGTAGCTTTTTTTCGATTTTACCTACTATTATTTTTAATGCTAAAATTCCACACCGTAAATATACGTACTTTCGGTCATCGTTTCGTACTGTTCAGTCCTTTCCACAGAGCGCAATCGCTCTCGGAGAGGTGACAACCGACAGTCACATTGGCCACTGTACGATACAAGCTTACTGTTCAGACGAGCTTTCCAACATTACTATCCGCACGTCAATCGATTGCAGCTAATCCCTCAAGTGGTCTTAAACTTTTTAATTTAAAGCGGAATATCAACCTGCGACAACCCGCCCCTTCCGATCACGGCCCGACCAGCGGCATCAATGCCCGACAGTTTACGTCATATCTCATCTTGTTGTTACACCACTGATAGCGAACACACAGTCACATCGGCGATAATTTCAGTCTTCTGTTCACAACCCACAACACTGCCTTCACGATGTTGCTGCTATGTTGCTGACACGCAGAAATACAGAACCACCCTCAACCCCGGTTGGCACTCGGCATCGGAAAACCGAACCGAACTCGGCACGGAAGGCACCCAGCAGCCGGCAGCAAAACCTGCCTGTCTTGGACGCAGTTCCTGCGACTTTCATAACGTCGAAAACGTCGACACAGTTCCGCGTGGTTCCGCTACTGTAGTTCCGCGTGGGTCCCGCAATCCGGAGACGGCCATCTTACCAGTGTACGTAGCGCTGCTGGCACTGCTTCGGAACTTCGCTGTTTCTAGCGGCTTCGTTTGCTCGTTTGATAAAAGTAGTGATAAAAACGTCAATGCAACCGAACTATTCTGCACTTTGGACTAGAAGACAAAATGACAGGCGGCCTTCGCTGCCTTTGAAGCTCAATCAACTCAACAACTTTTATAAAACAACGTGCACGACGTGCTCGAACAACGAAACCGAAAGAAGATGAGTCGGGAGGGCGAAAGCTTTTTCCCGTCTGCCTGGAGAAGGAGAAAAACGTTTTGTTTCTCCCTTTTTCTCGTGTCCGCTTGGGAGCGCGTCAGTAAAAGGGAGGAAGACGCGCTCGTTGCTTCCTTTCTCCTCCATTTTTTCTTAGAGTGTAGTGTAACGTATATAGTTGAATAGTTCGCTGAGAAACACTCTGAGCAATATTTGCTATTGTAGACATTCAGATCTCGCTGTTCCCCCTTTGAAATGCATTGCGCGTTGCGCAGCTGTTTTTTTTTTTTATAAATTTATTCTTTATTTTGGCAAAAATGTTTTAGGATGTTGATGAACGAGGCATTAGTTTACACGTTGCAAATGTGCTTCACCGATGTTAGTTTATATTATGTTTTTGTCCGTTGCTTCTACCTTCGACTCAGGTGTTCAAAAAATTGGTGGTACCAGCTTCCCAGCCTTGAAGTTAGGATGTTTGAAGCGTCCCTTACCCGCGTGCACTTGGCGAGCGAGTGAGGCCTATGAAAAAAGATCTTGATAATTTCGCTCTCTTTCACCAGTCGTTGGCACAACTTGAAAAAAAAAAAATGTAAGCGTGGAAAACAATGGTGCAGAAATGGTAAAGACAGGTCGGGTGATTAATGAATGAGTGCCGAACACGACATGCCGCATCGGGACGTAAACACAATCGGAAGCAAGCACGATGTTAAGGCACCTCCAACCGGGTAATCACTCCGCGAGTTCAGTCAGCTTTTTTTTTTTTTTTTTTCTCATTCTCAACAACAGGGCAATAAGAATCCGCGTGAGTTTGTTTTCGCGCATAAAAACTTTATCACATAGCTTTCTCGAACAAGCGAAGACTCATTTACCGTCCCTTAATTCCTGCCCGGAAAAATTTGGTGATCCGTTATTCCCTCAACTGCCGGTCCGTCGGATAGCTAAGCAGCTGGACACGCTTGTGTATGGTGGTGTTGTTGCTGCAGCCAGGGACGCAATACGTATAACCCCCATAACGGCGGAGGAAAAAAAAACTATTCGATGAAACAACACGACAACGCTGTGCATGAAAGGCTGACTGTCAGCTAAACCTTCACTGCATCTCCGCCCTCAACCGTACCAGCCCCTCTGCGCAGAAACTAAAGGTCCTACAATGCATCGCGGCAGCGGTGGCGTATAGACACTTGCTGGTGAGATCGGTCTACATTCGAGCCCGGTAATATCACACTCGGGGATTTCGAATTATTGTGCATAACAAGCAGTCAAAACATTCCCTTGAAAATCACATGTACTAGTATAGGAACAATGTCTTTTTGTATCAAACTAGCGTGGCGGGGACAATCGATAGAGCGAACGAGGCCCGGCTGCCCGTTGCTTTTACCGCGATCCGATAGCGCCGGCGGCGAGCACATCGCTTGAGTTGCGTGGCTGGCAGACCACCAGGCCAGCATACACGCGAGAAGATATGCAGCGAAAGAGCAGTTGTGGGAAAAGAGACAACGAACCGGAAAAAAAAAAAAAAATTTGAGGATAGCAAAAGCAAAGGGAAGGCCATGCGCGCGTAGGCAGGGCCGGTAGTCCCCGCTGTCGGAAAGGTAGCCGCGACCTTTCCCCCAACACTGCTAATGCTGCGCGACTCCCTAGCCCCAAAATAAAATAAGCAAAGTAAAAAGCAAGTCTTCGGCAAGTTGCGTGTTACGCCAACAACGGTTGTGCAATCGCACTCTGAACGTCTTATCTTCGTTTACCTTTTTATTTTGCCGTTATTGCTTTTCCCGTTTTCTTTTGGCCTCTTTTTTTCTATTTTGCTGCTTGAATCTAGCCAGCACTCTTTTTTATTGCTTGTTTAACTTTTTTTCTACGGATCAAGAAATTTCTTTTGTGCTTCTCGCTTTTCCGTTTCTCCTTCTTTTTTTTTTTTCTTTATTAGTTTCGCGTTTTGCCGCTTCTGCTGTGTGGAGGACCTGGCGTGTAAGCGCGGCGGTGTTAGCGGTCTCCGCCAACTACGCTGTACCCTATCTAGCGGCTCTAGGATGCTCTATTTTATAAGCCCCCCGTTTGTCGCGACCAGAGACGACAGGAAATTTCAACTCGAGCCTAATTTAGCATATTTTTGTATATCAAAATATTGATATATCGACCTTGTTTACGATCCCCATTGAACTTGATATATCCGGGTACGACTTCATTAGGATTACGGGTGTCGCGAACTTTTGACGAACCTCAATTTTGACGTAGGACCTCAAGTTCGACTGGTTCGACGGACCTTCAGCCTTTCATTAAAGTTCGAAGAGACTTGTGGTCAGTGTTGCCCGGCTTCTACACGAATATTTCGAATTTTGGGAAGCAAATTATTTAGAAAGTAGTTCATTTTATATCTTATATAATGGTTACCAATATTTACACCATATAGAAGCGAAAATATGCTCTTTTAATTAAAGTTTGTCAGTAATGTGAACCAGTGATGGCCAATATAGCCAACATCTGTTGCATTTTTCCTCCGCTAGGTGGAGTCAACTCGTTTTTGTTTTCGTTTTTGCGCATGCGCACTAAACTCGGACTTCAGTCGAACTTTTGTCAAAAATCACGTTGAAAGTTCGAAAAAGTTGACCATGGTCGAACTGGAACCCGGGCAGGTTTGCGACACCCCTAATGAGGATGGACTCTTGCGCCACCTGTCGCATTGCGGCGGCTGCGACCAAAGCGCGCCTCCAACGTCACGCCGCAGCGGTGGCGCTGGTGTTGACACGGCGCAAGCGCAATTACGCCACCTCGAGCCAATCTGAGAAATTATTTTTACGCGCCGGCGCAATGCCGACAAAAGCGCTGCCTCAGCCGCGTGGTGTTAGAACCTGCCAGAGAGCCCGCCCGGAGATTAAATAGGCAGACTCGTTGGCGAACCGCCAGTCACCGTCGGCTCGCCTCACCTCTTGCCATGGGCGTGAGCATGAGCAGGTTGACGAAGGCCGCTCCGGTGCCGTGCCCGAAGATGGTGACATTGCGTGGGTCTCCGCCGAACTCGGCGATGTTGCCCTGGATCCAGTGCAGGGCAGCCACCTGGTCCATGAGGCCGTTGTTGCCACGCGCGCTGTTCTCCATTGCCGGAAGGAAACCTGCGGGACGAAAGAACGAGCACCGTGAGACGACGCAACTCCTCCTACTCAACGACCCCCACCTTAGAAAGGGTCTCGAATTATTTAGGAGTTTCCTTAAGATTCAAATCAATTTTAAAAAAAAAAAAAATTTTGTGTCATGTTTTTCGTATGGAATAGTTGAGACGTTGGTAATGAGCCTCTGTCGAGTATCAAGAGCCGTCTGTGACGTTGTGTGAGAACTACAAATCAGTGTTGCGGATTTGCCACACCGGCATTCAAGTGATTCTGGAATCCTTCTGCACTTTCGCGACCCCGGAATGGAACGGGAATGGAATTATATGGTTGTTGCCCGGAATGGAGTGGGAATGGATTGGGGCACTGCTCTCATGCGAGCTGTGTCGATTTTAATCTAGGGCCGACAAGCTGATAGCGCAATTTGTCAGCGAATGGTACGTGGCTCTCGAAAAGGCATCATTACACCGGAGGTGCCTGACGGCTTGATTGTCTCATTGGCTTACACTCCTTCGAGGATGAATATGGCGCGGAATCAGTGAAGCGAAGAAATCAGAACTCAATAGTTTAGACGGACAAAGTGTCGTTCCTGGCGCCGTGAGACGAGACAAAGCGGCTGTTGTAATCATCCGCCTTTGCACGCAACTTTGAGCTAGGGTATCTAACGGAACCGAAAACCGGAGTAAAACTCTTTTTTTCTTTTACTTAACCGGAACAAGATCGTAACTGATATCAAATATTTGTTATTGAGCCCGATTGACACGGAACTGAAATTTTATATGCCGGTTACCGATTCATTGGCAACGGTTACGCGTAAGCTGCGCCTTCTTGCGGGTAGCGGCGCGAACCCAATTAAACATTTGCAACGGTGCCGCCAGCGGCTCAGTTTTGGCTAAAGAAACGGCAGCGACGACATGATGAAAGCTCGCTAATAATGCGAGATATAAATATAGTTCCCGCCTTTGTAGAGCACGAATTGGCTTCGGCGTGGAGGAGTACACTTGTATACTCTCTTTCACCTTTCAATAAACCGCAGAGGACGCTCCGAGCCACAGGGCCCTATTCATAGCTTGGAGGGCGTCACGTGCTCTTCCAGTTGGGCGGGGTAACGAGGGGAGCGCGAAGTCACGAAACAAGTTACAAACTACGTATTGGCTCGTGTAGCTCATAGCGACCATCTCGGTTCATTGTGAGGTGAAATGGAGTCACTGACTATGCCGAGGGGCTATATAAAGCGCTTTTCTTTATGTTTGTGTGTGTGTGTGTGGGTGTGTGTGTGTGTGTGTGCGCGCGAGCTTTTGTGTGTGTGGGGGAGGGAGTGTTATTTTCTTGCTGGCTAAGCTATATTCCCCAAGAAATGAGAACGCAACCACAAGCATCAAAATGAAAGCAAAATTTGAAGGCTCTCGGCGCGTTTGTTCTGCTGTTGCGAAATCTGGAGGCGCCAAGAGGCGAAGTCGCGACGAGCGCGACATTGCGGCGTCGGTCGCCGGGACGCCAGTCGCCCAGCGGCCTGAACGCTGCTTGAAGTATTTTTTTTTTTTTTTTGTGCGCGTTTTCTGAAAACTGCAAGTCGCCCGTTATATTACTGTCCTTTTTCGTTTTAATCGCCATTCGACGGGCCTTCGCCACCTTCGCTGCCTTTCTTCTTTTCAATTTAATAGTTCGGGCGTACGGTGTAGGTATAATTTGCCGCTTCGACATGGATGAGCATCGTACCGGCGTGCGGTCGTGTATCAGTACTGCGTGGTATCTGTTAAGGACCCCAAGCTAGCAGTCGTACTGCACTGGATATATTTTTCATCTATAGAGGGTAACAACGTCAACATACTCTGGAAGACTTAACAACTAACGACTAATTTGTTTTTGTTGGTAGCGAGTATGGTTCGTGCTACCGTCATGGTGTCACTGTGCGTGCTGGCTGATTCACTTCACATATGAGTACTCTACTTTCGTACTGCTTTCAACCGCCTGTATAACCACGTAATTTTCATTGAACGGTATTTTAGTTACAAAATTAATATAACAAAAAACATTAACCTTATATTTGTTTTGCTGCCCCATTTCTGCAGCACGTGTTCTGATGACCTATTTTTGTAATGCAGACGGCGCAGTATTTTACTAATCTTTTCTTCTTAACGAATGGGAGCTGTTGGCCCTTTTTAAGAACCGGTTTGAACTGGTTCGCGCTTGGTGTAACCGGTAACCAAACTGTTATTTTAAAAGCATCACTGAAGCAGAACCAAATCGGAACAAAATCCAATGCTTCTGAGCACGAACCAAACCGGAATAATGACCGGTGCAACTTCCTGCTTTTAATCCAGCCGTTTTTCTATGGCGTTCGCGAGGAACACAGATTTAAACTTGTATTGAATATGTTAAGAAATCGCAAGAATCACACAGACACGTAAAAGTTTGAGTTTGCAGGCAGGTTTCATATGCTGCTACACTCTTTTCTGCTGGGTGGGTGGAGATTTGAGGCAGATTCGCGCCGTCATTTCTAACGGCGCACAAACGGAGCTCTTTTTATTTATTTATTTATTTATTTATTACAATACCCTCAGGGCCAAAAGGCATTACAGAGGGGGTGGGGCAACCAAAAAATGAAAAAAAAAAAAGGGTACAAAAAGAGAGCAAACACAGCCGAGAATAAACATCAACAGCTCGAAACACAGCACTTTGGTCAAAAAATAAACAAAAGGACAATCACGACAAAAGGTGAGCAGATAAGGTTTTTTTTTAAATAAATCAATTGAAGGTATATTAACAAACGAAGCGGAAAGGTGGTTCCACTCAAGATATGTTTTTGGAATAAACGCGTTCAAAAAGGCTGATGTGTTACAATGAGGGACACCAACTTTGAATGGATGATCAAAACGCGGAGAAATGAATGGGGGCTCAAGGAATAGTTTATCTTTCGATGACGTGTTAGAATGATAGATCTTGTAAAAGAGGCACAAGCGCGATATTTTGCGACGTTAAGAGAGGGAGGGTAGGGATAGACTGAGTTTCATGGAGGAAACGCTTGCTGTACGATGATAGAAAGTATGAAACGAACTCCGCGATTTTGCATGGCTTCCAGGTTAGTTATAAGTGTCGAGTGACCGGGATCCCAGATTGCAGCAGCGTATTCTAATTTTGACCGGACCAGGGAGTTATAAAGCAGTAATTTCAAAGAAACGGGGGCCAGTGTAAAATTTCTTTTTAGAAAACCGAGCATAGAGTTAGCGTTAGCAATAATGTGGTCAATGTGGGTTTTCCATGACATGTTATAGGTAATATGGACACCCAGGTATTTGTAACAGGTCACAGACTGAAGTTGAGTGTTACAAATTGAGAGAGGTGGAAGAACCGTGTGACGACGAGAAACTCTCATAGACTTGCACTTGTTAATGTTAAGGGACATCTGCCACAATTCACACCATTGGGATACAGCACACAAATCATTTTGGAGGAGGAGTGAATCCGATTCATTAGTAACTTTACGATATATCACACAGTCGTCGGCAAATAAGCTAATAGAAGAGGATACACACTGAGGTAAGTCGTTAATGTAAATAAGAAACAATAAGGGCCCCAGAACGGACCCTTGGGGGACACCGGAAGTGACTGGACTTAGAGAAGAGTTAGCATCATTAGTATACACAAACTGAGAACGATTAGTAAGAAAACATTCAATCCAAGACAAAATATTAGGATCAACATGCAAGTGACTGAGCTTGAAAAGTAAAAGTTTGTGAGAGACTTTATCGAATGCCTTACAGAAATCTAGAAAGACGCAATCAACCTGGGAACCACGGTCGAGGATGGAAAGTAGGTCATTAGTGAAAGTGATAAGCTGGGTTTCGCAGGACAGTGATTTGCGAAAACCGTGTTGTGATGCAGTAAAAAAAGAATTTGAATCAAGAAAGTTAGCAAGATGTGAGTAAATTACGTGCTCTAAAATTTTGCAGGGAGTACTGATAAGGGAAATGGGTCGATAATTGGAAGGGTTATGTTTACTGCCTGATTTGTGAAGCGGAATCACCTTCCCAATTTTCCAGTTGTCTGGTAAAACGCCAAGGTTAACAGATTGTTGAAATATTTTGCAAAGAAAAATGGAAATGTAATTTTTAGTTCTCTTAAGAAATTTCGGTGTGATATTGTCAACGCCACAGGAGGAAGATGGTTTTAAATCATCAATAAGTTTTATAATTCCGTCATAGTCAAAAGCAAGTGGATCCATTTGAAAAAAACCATATCTCGGGAAAGTACCAGGGTAAACAGGAACAACATCACTAGCGAATTCTTTGACAAAATATTCATTGAAAACGGAAGCACAACTTTGACTAGGAACTACCACGCCATCATCACATGTCAGCGAAAGCACTGTATTTTTAGACCCGCTATACATATTCCAAAATTGTTTAGGACTGTTAGTTAGCATAGAGGGGAGGGTTACAGAAAAAAATGTTCGCTTGGCCTCCGCGATAGCGGTCTTATAGGAACAAGCTGCTGCGCTATAAGCTTCCCATCGTTCAGAAAGTCCAGTATGCTTGGCAGTCCGGAAAAGACGTTTCTTTTTATTAGAAAGACGCTTAACAGATCTGTTGAACCAGGGCGATAAGTGGTTAGAAATGATAGGCCTACATGGGATAAAAGAGGTAATTAAAGAGCTTACTTTGGTTTTAAACATATTCCAATTGGTATCAACTGTGCGGTGTGAGAAATTAAAAAGGAACTCATCGAGAAAAGCAGCTAGTTTGCTATTAATGGTATCGAAGTTAGCTTTATCATAATCGAGAAAATGTTTCGTGGTTTTCTTTTCAAAATAAGCTGGAAGTTGCAAATAAAAGTGCAAAATCGAGTGATCGCTAATTCCCGGTAAGTAAGTTATGGATGAGACAAGGTCTGGGTCAGTAGATAGAATAAGGTATAATATATTGGCCGTTGTACTGGTAACTCGGGTGGGTTCGGTGACAAGTTGTGAAAAGGAAAAATCGGCACAAAGGTTCAAGAACTCGGTG